TATATATATATATATATATATATATATATATATATATATATGTGTGTGTGTGTGTGTGTGTGTGTGTGTGTGTGTGTGTGTGTTTTGAAATCACAATTCGTTGTTGATCTCAGTTTTCGCTTTTATATTTGAATAAATTCTCTCCTGATATTATGCAAACCAAAAATAGAGTGTAACATAAAACTGTATTTTATGCCACACACACATACACACACATATGTACACACACACGCACATACACATGTGTGTATGTATTCATATACACATGTGTGTGTATTCATATACACCTGTCTGTGAACGTGTGTATGATTGTGTATATGTATATATCGAGTTTGTTACTGTTAAGCGCAACCGTCGAAATCCATCATATCGGCTTCCCCTTGCTATGTTTCAATATTAAGTCAGTTTGGTTTCGTTAAACTCGGATGGAAACGAGTCTAGTAGAAGGAAATATCTGATTTCAAGAGCTGGGGAGGAGGCTTTGTGACATAGTTCACTCTATTCCGTTCTTCAGAAAAAGGTCGGTTGCTTTTCTACTAGTATTTATTTCTATTGCCATATTTCAAGCTTGGGTTTTCTGTCATTTCAGTTCTCAATACTGCGCTGCTAGCTCCACATGCCCATCCTATATATGCAGAACTCAGTGATATGTAAATTGGCAACGTCAAGGTTGTTGGCTGTATCATCCTCTAATAATCTTTAATAAGAAAGCATTTCTTTAATCCCCTGAAAGAACTCTTCCTGGCTGATACGAACCTTCATTAAAGTGACACATTGCGAATTTCCAGGTTACATTCTGCGAAAATGGAAAGATTATATTGAATACGTTGTTCAGTATGTCTTTCAGAAAATTCGTTCACTGTTTCGGGCTAGAAAATATTTCTCTCAAAATTCTATCATGCATATCTCTAAGTCTACCATTAATCTTTGCTTTGAATGTTGCTGACCCATATTACACGATGGTCTTATTGATATCATAGAGATTCTTGACAAAATCCAAAGAAGAGTCAGCAATATTATTGGTCTTAGCCTGGAGTCTTGGCTTCAGTCACTTTCCAACGTCATAATGTAGTTTACCGGGAACTTTTCTGTAAACACTTTCATAGTAATTTTTCGGATGAACTCTTCTCTGTGCTACATAGACTTTATGAATGTAAGCGTCGTATTAAATTAGCAGCAATGTCCCATCAATTCAGAGTAGAATTGGCTAGATATAATGGTAAGTTCTATGCTAACATTTTCATTTTCTTGCACTTCTCACTTGTGGAACTCTCTTCTAGGGCCATGCTTTTCAGCCAACTTTGACCTAAAAATAATTTAAATACGATGACAATCGTTTTCTACTGTCTACTTGATTACTCTTCTATCGTGTCATTTTTATTTAATAATGATTGTCTATTTTTTTATTCGTTCACACTTGTGTATCAGTGCCTTCACTGCATTAAAAAAATAACACTCTACTTCCTGTTATTAGCAACATAGTATGTCAATCTAGTTTCAGAGACCATAGTTATATTACCAATCTAAGATAAGGAAAGCACTGAATTAATCTCGCTTCAAACTACTCATGCACGATAAGGAAATAATAATTACTAGTCACGTCCTACGGACTATGGGGTAGTCATGAGTCCTGCAGTTTGTCCTAAGATCAAATTTCGTAACTTTGTTTATATTTTTATTAACTGCGTCGTTTTGTACGGATTATCAACCACTTGCATATTGTTTAAAGACAGAAAATATTTTTAGATTGAAAGATCCTTTTCAGAAAATAATCTTAAAGACTAAATTTTAGACCAAGTGGATTCATACTTTTCCCAGTTAACATATGAAAATAGCGGATCTTATAATTAGAAATTAGAGGAATATCCTAGCACTACATAAGAAATAAACGACGAATAATTTTTAATCTAGAACAAATAATATGTAAAAAACATAATGAGTAAATAAATATATATATATATATATATATATATATATATATATATATATATATATATATATATATATATATATATATATTATATTTTAATACCTATACTCGGGCGGTGCGAAAAAATCGGATACTACAATTCGTAAATAAAAATATGTCTAAACACTCCGATATCAGGGAAAAACATTCAGTAAAAAAAAGAAGACTAAAAATGTCCGTGTTGGTTGAAAATATTCAGTATCGCAATGCATAATCAGAAGAAAAATAAACACCGACAGACTAAATTAAGTAAAAACATAAAAGACCTCAATACATTAAACAGTGTGTGTTTGTGTGTTTGTTTGTGTGTGTGTGTGGGGGGGGTGAATGATAAAATATAGTATTATTTTATGCTATATTGATTGGTTAAAGTGCTCAATTTCAGGGATATAAGTCGACATTCAAGTCAGCACTAAGAGTCTCAATCGTCAGGACATTTGTTATGTTTTCGCTCGACGTTTTATACATACAGGTCAGTGATGCACTGTGGGTGTTATATTCTATTAATGCAACGGTTATTTTTGTATTAACGCAACGGTTATTTTTGTGGGCGGTTTTTGGTAATTTTTTACTACTTAGTTTATTTAATCATTTATTTGTTCGGAGTAATTTATTTTTTTTGTTTTCGTTTATTCCTTTTTCATTTATTATTTGTTGGTTTTCAGCTTTCGATTTTTAAGTAGCGTAGTAAAAATTTGTATTCGTGTCTGAATTTTGAGATGAAACCTGATCGTTTATTTAGTTGTTTGTTTTGGACTGGAAATGTAATTACAATTATTCTTTCCTCAAGGAAGATTTTTTTCAATTTTTCGCGTGATTGTGGTTGGCTGTTATTCTTTTCCTTATTTTCCATGAAATTTTTGCTGTGATTTTTTTTTTTCATGTATGTTTGCAAATCATTGTGCTGTTCGCGTATTTACTATATGTTTGTTTCTAGCGTCGTTTAGTTAGCCCTATATATATTTTTTCTTCGTTATCTGCCGAATTTACAATGACTTGGTATATTACATTGTTTTGCAAGCAAATGCTATTTAAGGTACGTTCGTTCTTTATTCTGCAGCTACACGTGTGTTTAATTTGTTCAAGGGATTTCTTGATTGTTTTTTTGTTTGTTGTGCTTTGTTATGTGTCATGTACTCGGTACGACTGTAGCTGATTTTACTGTGATTTTCTTGGATATCTTGTAGAGTGTGTTTCGTGTGCCGAACTTCAGTATGCACAAAACATCCCGCATTTATCAAATATATATATATATATATATATATATATATATATATATATATATGTGTGTGTGTGTGTGTACAAGTGACGGTGGAATAATCAACCCAACCAACAATTCGATTGAGCTTAGATGTATATCTTTTCTAAAATCAGTATTGACAATATACTTGGGAATAAATCGGTAACTAAAGTTCCCGTGTTTTCCCTGAACGTTCAGCTTCATAATGTCTCATATAAACTCTACTTCTTAATTTGTATCACTCTACGTCTAATCGTCATTGTGCCTTGTACAAGTGATTATCATAGTAAAAAAAAAATCTCATATGTACAAACATTTATACACACCAATAGATATGCACAAGCGGCAAGCAAATAAAAATTTGTATTAATTAGTCTTATTTTTTTAAATTGGTAATGTGAGATAAAAAAAACCCGCAAATGTTCACTGCAAAAGAGAATATGAAATAGAAATATTTAGAAATATTCACTCAGACATGTATAAAACTGAATCTCTTTTTAATAGTGTCTTTGTGTATGTGCATGTGTGCATTTGGGTATATGTGTGCCCTCACACGTGCCCGGCCGTGTATATTATCAATGTCTCGGAGATTCAGTTGGCGATTAGATACAATGATAAAGAGAGTTGGATACATATATTTTACTATCTTTATGTTTACATTTTTCGAAATTTTACGAACATAGCATGATGCATATTCATGTATGTAGCGAGCTTCAGAATATATATATATATATATATATATATATATATATATGGTGAAATATGTATGGGTTATGGTGAAATAGCTTATTACATGGAATCTTAACGTGATCTGTTTTTTATTCAAATAAATATATATATATATATATATATATATATATATATATATATATATATATATATATATATATATTCTGAGGCACAGTGGAGTAATTCTTCTTCTAGATATGGGTAAATCGAAGAATAGACAGGGTTCTATAGCCTTGGATGAAAATTGCACTAGGAGTAGGGTCGTTTGGGGACTTTGTATCACGTAGTGCACCAGGTCTCTATATTCGGGTCTTCAAAATGTGTGGTTTGTTCTGAACAAAGCCTTCGCCACTATAATTAAATCTCATGTGCTGGCGTCGGGCTTTTGGTTCCTAGGAACTGATTTGCTACACCGTTATATGCAGAATTCGACGAGCGAATCGATTATATATATATATATATATATATATATATATATATATATATATATATATATATATATATACACAGAGACTGAAAAGTAATCATCGAGCGATGTTTTAGTTGAAATGAAAAGTTTGTATATGGGCCTCTGCGCATGTATGTATCTACTCTGACGAGGCTACAAATTATTGAAAAGAAAACTAGTCACACTCGATATTCGTATTGATACATATATGCATGCATTTGTATGTGACCTGTCATATGGGCGTGTATATATGTGTCTCTGTATGTCCTATATCTTTCTGCTTTTGGACAATTTACGTGCCGCGAGACGTAGCCAGAATTCCAAATTATTTTTCTAAGGCAGACAGTCCTTCTTCGCTTGAAATATTGGCAGATCACAATTTTCTTTCTTTGATCATTTTTATTTGATCTTTTATACGATTCTGATAATTATATCATGAAAAAAATATTTAGATATATAGATAAATAGATAGATAGACAGGCAGAGGAGAGAGCGCTACAAAGCATAGTCCAATAGACAGATGAGTAAATAGCATCAAAATAGATAGATAGATGAGTAAATAGCTTCAAAATAAACATATATATATATATATATAGAGAGAGAGAGAGACAGACAGACAGACAGACAGACAGAGATAGATAGATAGATAGATAGATAGATAGATAGATAGATAGATAGATAGATACTGGTAAAGATACAGATACGCAAATATGAGATAGCTACAAAGATACATAGATGAGAAATATTTACAAAGATAGATAGATGGATAGAGAGTGAGAGAGAGAGAGAGAGAGAGAGAGATACAGAGAGAGAGACAAATGAATGATAGCTACAAAGATGGAGGGATTGATAGCCAGATGAGATATTAAGAGATAGATATTAGGAGAGATAGATATTAAGAGAGATATAAAGAAATGAGCGATAGCTACATGATATATAGATCGATCGATCAATAGATAGATAGATAGATAGATAGATAGATAGATAGATAGATAGATAATAACAAGCACACACAGATAGAGCGATCCATATGAACATATATAACACATGGGTAGGAATATTATAAAATGCATATTTATGCCTGCATATAGGGATATGTAGACAGACACAGATAGATAGATAGATAGATAGATAGATAGATAGATAGATAGATAGATAGATAGATAAACACTGGGATAAATACCATAATGCGATAGATAGATAGATCGATACATAAACGTTGATAGAAAGAAATACATACCTTTTATGTATTCTCATTTACGCAAAATACCTTAATTACCAAGTTTATATTATCGTATTTGAAATTCAAAAATTATTGGAAGCCACCCCTTGTGAATCCGAGAGATGAAATATTCGAATAACGAGTAAATAAATCTCAGTCCAAGAAATAAATCGCTAACGCAATCTCTGATATCGGAACTTTATTCAATTAATGATTTCCTCTGCCGTTTCGTGCTGACCAAATCTAATTATGTATTTCGACATGAATTTTTAATATGTAGGCGTTATATGGTAGCGGCCCTCATGCACGTGTTCATGGCCAAACGGTTGAGTCAGTAATACGAATTTGATTGCAAATTATGGCGATAGTTAAACTGCCCCAAATACTCAAGAGAGCAGCAACAAAACCATTTCTTAGTATGAAGGAACTGCGAGATTAATATTTTCCAGAACTCATTTCGGGAAAGGATCCTTTATAATAAATCTTGCAATTATCCATCGAATCGTCTTCAGGATACTGACAGTCATGGATCTCTATCACTTCCTGTGCTTTGTAACGCTAATAAAACTTTGACTCTGCTCTCACTAATCAGCCTCGCTGTCATCATTCCGTAAAAATTCTTAGCTAGTTTATTTGCTGTTTCCTTATGTTCAGTCTGCATTTTATATTTTTTTGCCAGTGATAATTTCTTCAATCCATATATTCTTATGATGCATCCGATGGTATTCTCATCTTACGGCCATATTCCGTTGAAATACCAGTTCCTGTAAGATCACCGAAGTTAGGCAACGTCATTTATAAACCTAAAAGTAAAATTGAAACTTACTTTAAAATACCCCTTGGAATGATAATCACAAATTCTTCTTTAAAAAGGATAAAACTTACAATTACTCTATTATTATTTACATTATTTGCATTATTCCAACTGTTTCGATAACAGAAAGAGAAAATTAAAAAAAATATGCGTAGCTTACCACATATGGAGGGAAAAGTGAGGTCACCACCCCTGTGGGATGATGATAAAATAATAGACAGAGAGCATCACTGGAAAATCTGAAAACTTAAGGAATCAGCACATATGCTAAGCCACAAAATCTCCTGAGCAGAGCAAGCATAGAAATAAATACAATATGTGAACCAATAAGAAGTGCTAGAGAAAAGCAATGAACAACAAAAATTGCAATATAAGCTCTGGTAAATAATACAATAATAAAAACAAAAAATTCAATATGAGGACTACTACAAATGGTGGCTGAGACATTAGGCTAATAAGTCCCAGAAATTCCTTATCCGCTGGGCCATATGTCCTCAAGGACATATGTCCCAGTGGATAAAGACGTTCGTTACATCCAGTGACTAGACCCAAAGAGTTGCGAATTCAATAGAAGGTCACAACTGTGGAGGAACAAAAACTTGAAAAGCTGAGTTATAGGGAAATAACTGAGACATCGGGAAGGGGCATGGCACGTAGAACTAGAACAATCTACCTCCGCGAACGAAATAAATGTTTCGGTTCGAAATTTCAATCACCTGAAGTTGGCCGGAGCGAATAACTTTGTGAATATGGAAATGAACATGAGGATAACTGTCCGAATATTGTAAATAATATAAATAATCGTAATACTCCATCTGAGTGATATATACAGATATATTTTATATATCAAAGAGAGAAAAAAATTAAATTTGCGATAAACCTTTTAATTATAATTTTTGCTACCGGAATTTTTCTTTTAAATACAAAGGTAATTTATTGTGAATACAACGAAAATAAATTAAATGAACATTATAATTACTTCAGTGCCTTAAATAATAAATATAAATAGTGCAATCCAGACGTACGTCTGCCTTTCCTGTGAGAGTTATTTACTCGTGACAGATCTGATAATCAGGTTTAAACATTCTTCCGTGTTCATGATAGTGTCATTTATGACCAAAGTTTAAATTGCATTGAAGGATTTTTTTTTCTAATTCTCTGTGTATGTCTATATAAGTTAACTCCCAGTACATGGTCAAGTACACATATTTGAGTCCTTCTCATTCGAATCGCTTTTCCACTCAGACAACTTATTCCTTAGTATTGCTTCCCCGATTAGTACAATCTCTGGGGATTTCCACCGCCTAGACACCCAACTTGTACGCTACGTGAAGCTGATTCAGAACTATAAAAGGGCATAATCATTTCTCATTTTTTTGTTCATTATTTAGCTCTGATATACAGGAGCATCAACGCGATTCTTGTTTCCTATTCGGTAAATTTTGTTCCGTCTCGCAACAGACGAGTAAAATGTAACTCACATGCATATAAGCAACACATACAGTTATATAGATAGAGATAGAGTAACACACACATAGAGGGAGGGAGAGAGAGAGAGAGAGATTTCTCAAAATCCAGCTTTAAATACAAGTATATAGATGCTCATATCCCTAAAAATGTTGACAAACTAGTATGAGTAAGTAAATAAATTTCCTCTGCAAATGTTAACCACTTCAATCTTAAGTTCCACTATATTCTATCCTACATGTTCTCATAATATGCATAAACTCACAACATATTTTACTCACTTCAAACAGCCTTATCCAGAAACCTTCCTTTGGAGGCTTTCTCTGTATTTTTGCTTTGTGAATAATAGCATATAAAGTTCTAGTCACTTTTCTTAGTATTTTTTTCTCAAGTACGTTTTGCAAAAGTTCAATATTGACAAAACTTGGAATTCTATAGCGACGGAAATCTTCCAGAGAAAAATGTACTGATCGAAAAGTGCCAAACATTCGTTCGATTGTTCGAACAATTAAACCATTCTTTTCATGAAAGAACGAATATTTTCTTGTACATTCCTTTGACGAAGAGCTGTTTTTGAATTCATACAGTATGATCTGTCAGAAGTTATTGGAAAAATGATCTTTCAATTTTGCCTGAGGACCAAAATATTTATCCAAAACGTACTCAGACTGCATATCTTAAAGAAAGGAATCCGTTGGTCTTCAAGCAAATCTCCATGAATAAAAATTTTCAAATCACATATACACAGTATAGATGTGAATGCAAATCTAGGTATATAGTAAGTACGATACCTCTATAATAGTAATAGGTTTGGATTCATTTAATACTAGAATTCTTTGAATCGATTGAAACCATTTTCAATGCATCTATTTTAATAATTTTAATTATGATATATTTATTATATATATATATATATTTATTAACTTTTTAATACATTATAATGATAAATGTTTCACGGGTCAAAAGGAGAGTTTGAATGAAGACGATTTGAATATTTTAAGGATTAATATAAGTTTATTTTTTATGTGTTATGGATATGTTTGCATTAACAATAGACTACATTTTGTGCTTACGTTTTGTGGTACTTTCAGCCTGGCCAGTACCTACATTGCTGACCGCTTGTGAATATCAGGTGCTGTAAATATGGACATAAGGGGAGGATTGGGGATCATTCCACAGAATTTTTCATCGTCGAGCCGTGATCCAATTCGCTTTTGGATCGTTATATCCACTAACACAAAAATACAATTTGAAAAGTTAGAAACCATCTTTTCACTAAGATGTAGGTTAATTAGTAATACATATATCCCAAAACTATTTTCCTCTGCCCATAATAAAATTCTTAGAATCAATCAATATTTTCTCGTTTTAAATATCCTGTAAATCATTGATAAGGCGTAGAAAACGAAACAAACATTCAATCGACACACATATATAGCCACCGATTCCAACACATGCATTATATATATATATATATATATATATATATATATATATATATATATATATATATATATATATGTATGTATGTATGTATGTATGTATATATATATATATATATATATATATATATATGTGTGTGTGTGTGTAAATATATATATGTAAATTTACATATATATATATATATATATATATATATATATATATATATATATATACAAGCATAATCACATACAAGCACTCAAATTAATACATACTAACTGTATATATCGAGACCATTTACCAAAATTTATAACATATATATGTATGTATATCTGTTTATTAATCTATCTATCTATCTATCTATCTATCTATCTATCTATCTATCTATGTGTATTTTGTGTGTGTTGTATATACTTCTGCCAAAATTAATTAATGTTTACATTTTGAGAAGTAGATATCTGAACATAAGCAAACACAAATATCCAATTTTATGTGCGAATATTCCTGTATATTTGTACGCGCCTGCTCGTGCACGTGCGTGGGTGTGTCTGACTCTGTGTGTGTGTGTGTGTGTGCGTTCGCATTCGTGCGTACATGCTAGTGTGTACAGTCATGCGCGCGTGTGTGTATACTTCATTGCAGGTGAAGAATAAGAAGATTAAGAAACTTCTATATTGGAAAGGCAAAAATTTGAATGCAAGACGGAATTTTTTCGGAGAAAGTCGTTACATCGCCGATAAGCTGATAGGAATTTAGATTGGGTCATCAACCCCCTTGGAACACATGTCAAATACTTTTGCTCACCACTGTTGATTTCATCCCTTAACATGATTTCGTTCGTTTAGGCCGGCTTATTAAAATGCATATTAATTTCCAAATGATATGCAAATTTTTATTTATGTATCATATTCTTGTATTTTATTGACAGCTGTCAGAGGCAAACGGCATGGAAATTAACTACATATTCCGCATACTACATGTACAACATACTTCAAATCTACAATCATAGAATCATATGTACAGGAAGATAAATAGAAAGATATTAACATTGCAAATATTACATAGAGTTGTTCCATGTGTGTCTAATTTAAATGTTATTTCTAGCGGATATCCATATTTGAGTAGCCGCTCCGTGTACTTAAAAAGATGAACCCTAAATAAGATTTACATGTCGGGGACTCTAATATCAAGGAAGTGGGGAAATTTAAATCCGAATAAATATTGGTATGGCCAAAGAAGGATTCTGAATGATAGGCAGGGTATTAAGAGATAGAATTTCGTTGGTTACAGAGAAAAGAGTACTGAATTGCTAG